TGTGATAAAAACTCTTTTCCACAACAGACTGTCAGTCAGGTGGAAAATGGTCCACTTCGTGGGGCACATGATCATTTTGTGAAGCACATCAGACCGCAGTCTCAGTAGATTGTACATGGTCTGGCAGTACCTTATGAATACCCCTTGCAATTTGGAGAAAGCTATTTATTTGCACAAATAGGTGTCGTGTCCCTCTTCAATTGCTTGTTCACTCAGATATCTGGGTGTAGAATGTGCAATACCTTTCAGATCTTTTTGATCCCATCAGTGTATCAGGATCCATCAGATCGTGAGGCCTTTTTTGTTGGGTTTCTTTCCTCCCCACCCCTCCCCTTTTCTCTCATTTCCTTGTTTTTAAACACTTAAGAACTGTAGGGGATTAAAAAAAAAATGTATAGACAGAGATTCTGACCTCAGGAGCTGAACTAAAGTTTGCTAGGGGTCACAGATGAAAAATATTTCTGACCAAATAATCTATACAGAATAAACATTAAGCATACAAGCAGTGAGAAGAAAGCCACATAAGCAAATTTCTTTTTGAGCAAAGAAGCAGCAGCAAAGTATGTCATATCAATACTTGTCATGTAATCTGGACAGTGCAAACAGGTGTCAAAAAGGGAGGTGTTCAGGAAGCTTTTAGGAGGAGGTGGCAATTAAGTGAACCTGGAAGAATGAGCAGAGTTTCTCCTGAAGCAGTGGGGTCAGCTCTCCAAGCAGAGGGAGGTACACAGCAGTGACTATGGGTGTCCCTTTGCTACGAGCACTCCCTATACTTAGCCCTGGCATCTTGTCAGCTGCCTGGTCCCACCGAGGGTTCACCAATGGTGCTTTCCTTTTTCTCCGTCTCTGGCATCTCAATTGTAAGAACACTAATTTTAAAGGGAAAATGTACTTTCTTTTTCTCTGATCCCCTTCCCAAACTTCACACTGGAATGTTTTTTTCTCCTTTTAAAAGAGGCATTCTCTTAAGTGTACGAATATTCCTACTTTATCATGTGACTCGAAACTAGCACTGTATGTAGAATCATTAAAAAATCAAAGCATACAAGTGTTCAGCTGCTCTAAAGATTTGAAAATTGTAAGGGGCTTATCAGAATTGTGTGAAATATAATGTGGTATCTTCAGCAGTTAATTCTAAAAAGTAGGTCTAAGCCTAATAGTAAACAGATCAGAACTTGGCCAAAAATCTCTGTAAAGATGATGGTAGTGTGCGATTAAACTGTCATATCCTGTTTTGTAAAGATGACCCTGTTATAGGATGCTTTTTTCTTTGTCATTGATTTGTTACGATTTTTTTGGTACACGATTTTAGGAATTTAATAGAAATTCAGAGCTCTCAAATGTCTAAAGAAATCTTAATGCTCCTATGTTTCTTTTCATTCTTGGCATTAAAATGTTATTTTATACGGCATACTTTTAAGTTTGAGTTACTGTACTGATGAATTATTAAGTCAGTAATTACTTAATACCTCTTAATTTACCAAGAATTCCATGTAATCCTAAACAGCCTTCACTCTATTTTAATAAACTCATTTTATCAAAATCTGCCATTACAGAGCACCTGAAGCTGGGATCACATTTTGTTACACTGTAACTGAAACCGCTTGCGACTGTGTTTTTATCAGATGCCCTGGGCCTTCTTGTTCCTGGCGCTCATCCCTTCACCATTTGGTCTGCTAGTTTGCAGACCCAAACTAACTAAAAATGGGTAGCAGGGGCAAAGGACGGCTGATCCAGCCATGTAGTAGATTCCTTGGACCTTTTAAAACATTTTATGCAAAGTTTTATGATTCGTAAAAATACTGTTATGGTGATTAAGGCTCTAAGTAGATGTATTTGTTTCTTATTTCCACTGCAACAAATTATCATAAACTTGTGGCTTAAAACAATGCAGAGTTATTATCTTGTACTTCTGTAGTTCAGATGTCCAAAAGGTGACTCCCTGGACTAAAATCTGGTTTTCAAAAGGTCTGTGTTCTCTTCTGAGGGCTCTGGGGAGGATCGATCCCCTTGCCCTCCCCGCAACTGGAGGCACGCACGTTATTCTGACTCTCTTCTGCCTCCTTCTTCCACATTTAAGGGCCCTTGTGACTACCTTGCTACCTGGATAATCCAAGATAATCATCTTATTTTAAGATCAGCTGACCAACAGCCTTAATTCATCTGCTACTTGATTCTCTTTGCCATGTAATATATTCAGTTTCCAGGAATTAGGAGTTGGACATCTTTCAGGAGAAGGGAAGGCCAAAAAAGCATTATTCTGCCTTTCACAGTACGTATAATCCTCCTGAGATTATTCAGTATCCAGTGTTTATTCAACATTTAGTAAATGTTTCCGAGGCTCTGCTTTGTACCAGGAACTCAGTCTGACAATGTCTAGGGAGAGAGAGGACTGTTTTCTCTCTAGGAGCTTTTAGGTGCTGAGACAGATGCTTGGCAGTGCTTTATCATGGATGGGATCTGGCTGTAGCTGGGAGTGGCATGGGTGTGGAGAGGAAACAGGAGTTTTGAAGGGGAGGGGTTTGCCCTGGAGAGAATGGCGCATGGGTTATCCCAGGGAGGAGAACCACTTAAGCGTGATAGAGTCAGGAGCCCTAGGTCTTGGACTCTGGAGTCTGGCAGGGAGCGTGGCAGGGCCAATACAACTGGGGATTTTGGGACCCAACTGTGAAGGACCTTTAAAAGGGATGACAGCCAGTGTCTCATGGGGCGGGCGGGGGGTGGGGGTTCTTCTTCCTGCTAAGGAGGGTGTAAGCTGCCTGAAAATTTAAAAGTCTGAAATAATTAGTGAAGAACAAAACATAAAAAGCCAGAAATATATTTACAAAAGCAGAGCCCCTGATACATCCAGTCCACACAAGAGCTGGAACTAGACAAAGGAAAGATGGCTCTGGTGGTTTATTTAAGTGGGTACATCAAAGGCAGGGATAATGTTTCAAGGGCGGATTCTTGCTTGGTGATGTCTTGTAGTCAGCAGGTTGATTGGCATCTTGGCAGGTCACACCCATCTCAGGTGCTGTGTGGGATCTTTGGCAGAGCTTGTGGGGGAAGTTCACCTGAATCAGATGGTCTGTCCCTGTGGGGATGTCATGGGAAGTTCCCAGTGCCAGACTATCCCGTCACTGGGCTATGATGCACAACATAGTCCCACACAGCCCAGGGGCAGCTCTCCACAGGCCTTAGGTGCCAGGGCTGGGAGTGGACTTGCTGCCATTAGTTAAGCCTTGAGGTTAGGCCTCAGCGGCCCTTTAGCCAATCAGCCAGCAGAGTTGCTTCTTTGGTTGCTGTGTATTTGGAAAGCAGACCTCACCCCATGTATCCTATCTACCTGCTTCCCTTGCTCAATCCTTTATGTGGTTTACCTGGTCCCTAATAGAGGCCCCCAAAGAATTTTTGGCCCCTGGTAGCAGGGGTTGCAGGAAAGGGGATGGAAACCATTGAAGAAGAGTCACTTGATGGAAGCTTGTATGTAGTGTAGTCAGACATTGCTTGCACATCTCTTAAATTTTTTTCCAGACAAACTTATAAAGTCAGATTCCATGATGCAGCTTAAGTGGAAAATAGGAGCAGGACTGTGTAGAAGGCAGCTTGGACTGTCCTGTGCTTGAATTCAAGCTCTGCCACTGAGTGTATGAGTTTGGATGAGTCAATTAGCTTCTGTGAGGCTGGCCTTCCCACACTGGCTAGTGAGACCAGGATAATCAGGACACGCAGCAGGGCTCTTGGGAAGAAAAAGAAGACGACGTGTTGTTTATCTGTGAAATAAGCACAAAATATCTTAGCCATGTTTTTCTTTGGTCCATATTTGTAAGTGTTTTAGGGCATCTGTCTGAACCACATTTATAATAAATAGTCTAGACCATGCAGGAAATTTAACTAAACCCCTGCAAGTTCAGCCTATCTCCAGAACTGAGAATGCTTCTTTTATGACAAGTACTATTTGATATTTAGACATATCCTCATTCCATGAATATTTAGTGATCACCTTTTGTTCTTGTGCCTAGAATTGCAGGGAACACTGTGCAACCCCTCCTTGCAGAGTTCATAATGTCCCAAGAGAGGCACGTGTGTAAAAGTGAAGTCAGAATATGTGGATGTATGTAATTGAGTGTGCCAAGTGGGTGGTGTGTAGAAGTCCTTTTAAGTTGAAAGCAAAGTGAAAATTGGCTTGAGTTAGCCTTGACAGGAAAACTTTATGTGTGGAAGAAATGAAAATTCAGTAGACCTTTCAAGGCTAGAGCACAAGTGTTTGGCGGGAGTACAGAGAATGTGAGTGGGGACTGGATCAGTGGCCAGAGGAAAGAGCAGACCTCCAGTTCATCACCCTCTCCTTCTGGAAACACTTCTGTCCCTGGCAGCTCTGATTCCAGTTTCTCCCTGCCTCTACTTAATTTTGAATTCTGAGCTCCACACACAGTATGGAACATGGTAGAGGCTCCAGAGTGGGTTTCTGTTGCAGCAGGAGTTGGCCAGCACGAGCACAAAGCTTTGTACCTGTACTTGGTATCTTGTTGTTCATCCATAGAAGCAAATCAGAGGGAAAACAGAGATTTGCTGCACAGGGATAATCATTCCCCCAGATCCTTTTTTAACCCTGTAGCATCATGGGCCCTACTTACACACCTAACTTCACCCTTAGAATCCATCTCCTGCAACACATGAGAGAAGAAATGCTTACTTGTAGATAGAAGACACACAGTTCCTGCTGTCTGGTTTCTAGACAGGAGTTGTCTCAGCTAGTCTCTGTATTCCTTAGAGATCACCTGTTCCTAGTGTCATAGATCACAGCAATGAGAGGTAGAAGGAAGGAACTTTTCCTAAGAGAGGAGACCAGGCCCAGGAATGTTAGCAAGTCAGTAACTGCATGACTAAAACCTCAAGTTGCTCAGTTCATAGCTTCCCATTCTCTGCAGGCTACATTCCATTCTCTGTTAATTTGATTTTCATGGCATTAGTGTAATCTATCTAATCTAATGAACTCCTTTCTTTTTTAATTCTAGATTTCTCATATTGGCAAACTGAGAGATTTTCTTCTGGAACACAGGAAAGATTACATTAATGCTTACAGGTAAGTGCATTTGCCGGGGGGCGGTGGGGGGGACTTGGATTTGGACGGCTGTGTTCTTTTCTGTTCCTATGTTCCTTTTGAGCTTAATTTTTTTTTTTTTTTGGTTGGGGGGGGAGGTTCAGGGGAGTACTGGAGATTAAACTCAGGGGCACTCAACCACTGAGCCATATCCCCAGCCTTATTTTGTATTTTATTTAGAGACAGGGTCTCACTGAGTTGCTTAGTGCCTTGCTTTTGCTGAGGTTGGCTTTGAACTCACAATTTTCCTGCCTCAGCCTCCCGAGCCGCTAGGATTACAAGCATGCGCCATCATGCCTGGCCCTCTTAAGCTTTTTGTCCTCACTTCTTACTTGACAACTCAGAGCTGTAATGAGGAAGATCAGTATAGCAGTGGAAGAACATGTGCAGAACAGAAGAAAACTCAACAGCTGCTGTGGCTGTGTTCTCACAGCAATGTGATATCGCAACTTCTGGTCTCTATCTCCATGGGTGCCATTACATCCTAGCGTATGATACTCTGATTTCTTACCAGAGCAGTACATAAAACTGAGAGTATGTGTATTTGTATCACCTGAACCTTGAGGAGGGACAAGTTTTCAAGGCTCTTGCTTGGCTCTCTTTGCCTGTATTTTGCTGTCCCAGCCTGTGACACTGGCCTTGCTGTTTGGGTGGTGCCCTTGTGAGCATGTTTTCATCTCGCGCCTTCACTTCACTGTGTCAGGCTTTTCTTGACCTTCCCAGTCTCAGTCCTCATGACCTCTTTCCTTGTCCTTCTCCCAGGCTTCTGACACTTGCTAGAGACATCAACAAGCTCACTTTGACTTGGCCTTCATTTTGGGGGGCTTATAAGTACTTTTATTCAGCCTCTAATGTAACTCATGATCACATTCCTCCTCTGGCTAGGTCCCCTTTCTACTTGGCAGCCATCACCTTTTGGAGTATTCCCTGGATTAGTCACCCCTAAGGAGACCCAGCATGAATGCCCCACTGCTCTCTGTCAGCAGCAGCCTCCACACCTGGCCTTGCCTGTTCTCATCTCTTTCACACCCTGCTCCTGCCATGGTGCCGAGCGTGCCAGCCTTCCTGGAAGTCTCCCTGCCCGTTCCTGATGCTGGCACAGGCAGCTGGTATTGTTCCTCCTCTTCCCATGGTGGTCTTTTTTCAAAAGTTAGTGCTCAGCTTTAATGCTGTGTCTTCTGGGAGGCCATCTTGGGCCACTGTTTATAAAATAGACCTGGGAGTTTTTGTTTGTTTCTGTACCTTATTTTTTTCATGACAAAGCATGGTTTGTTATTATTCAATAATAATAACATAGTTTACTATTTATCTTTGTGAATAATTTTTAAGTTTTATGAGACTGGAGACCTTGTCAGCTTTTTATTCTTGTTTCCATAGTGCCTCACCCATACTTGGTACTAGCTAAATATATGTCAGTGAATGAATGAATGAATGAACTCCTCATGGTCCTACTAAAGTCCATGATGAGCCCGATGTGGTGGTGCATGCCTGTAATCCCAGTGCCTCAGGAGGCTGAAGCAGGAGGATCACAAGTTCAAAACCAGCCTCAGCAACTTAGTGAGAACCTGTCTCAAAATAAAAAATTGGCTGGGGATGTGACTCACTGATTAAGCCCCACTGGATTCAATCCCTGGTGCCAAATACGTAAAGTCCTTGATGAGCCCATTGGTTCTCAACCACAGCTGATTTGTGGGGGACACTTGGCAATGTCTGAGAACAAAGAAGGAATTATCTGGCCCACAGTGTCAGTTGTGTTGATGTTCTCAGTGTCTTCCCATCTCAATCTATGCAAATTAACTAATTCATGCACCAAATATTTGTTGAATACATGCTCAGTGCCTGGTACTATTCTAGATTCTTAGGGCACATAATGGAATAAAAAAGGCAAATATTGCTTCTCTGCAGCTTGCATTCTAGGGATTAACAAAGACAAGCACTTAGGTCCTGTGGAACGGACACAGTAGAGTCAGGTTATGGGACCTAGGGTTGCTGAGGAAGGTGGTGGTTTATATCCAGAGTGGTCGGGATTGCCCCCGCTGAGGCCGCCTGCTCCTCTGAGGTTTGGAGTGTTGGTAGGACTTCTCGCTCCTGCCTCTCTGCCTCCTCCCTTCTTTTCACCTGCTGTACCTATTTCTCCTCCGCTGTCCTACTGTCCAACTTGGGTTCCTCATCTCATCATTCCTACTGCTTCTGGATCATTCCTGCATTCCTGATTCCCCTCTAGTTTTGATGATCACACTCTTTTCTCTTCTTCCCTTTAGCTCATGCACTTAACCTTGTTCCTCTTGAAGCCATGTGCACTGTCACTTTGTTTCAATCCAATGCCAGACTTGGGGAGAAAGTCTGCATCAGGGAATAGCCGACCTTCTGTAAAAGGCCAGATAGGAAGTGGATTAGGCTTGGTGGGTCATATATGCTGTCACACATTCATCTTGGTTTTCTTTTATTGGTTTTGCTTATTGTTTTTATACAGCCTTGGAAACATGTAAAAAGTGCTTCTTAGCTCTGGCTGTATAGAACCAAGCCTGTGGGTTGGATCTGGCCTGTTGGCTATAGGTCACTGACACCTGGTACCTGATCCTTTGCTTCCTCACGATTCACTCCTCCCTGATCCTAATGGTGGAGCTTGGTTTTCATCACTTTCTGAGACTTTTTCTCCCAGAGCTCATCTATGCTTTTTAATTAGTAAAGCTGGTGGCTTTTTCTCAAATTTAGTATAAGTGGAGTCATATAGTACACTCTTGGTGTATCTACTTTCTTTCACACAATATGCTGCTGAGAATATCACTAGTTGTTCCTTTTTATTAGTTATTTTTTGAAATATTCTGTTGTGTGAAATTGCCACAATTTGCTTATTCATTTACTAACAGGGAAAATTGGATTGTTTCTAGTTTCAGGCTATTATGAATAAGCTGCTATGTGTGAGCAGCTTCTACAAGGCTTTTTGTGCATATATGTGTACATTTCCCTAGAATAAATACCTAGGAGTGAAAGTGCCGGGTCACACACACAGCAGGCGTGTTCTTAACTTTGAGATAAATTACCAGTTGCGAAGTGGTGTTGCTGCCTCATTAGCAGTGCATAGGGCTGCAGAGCAACTGGCATATGGTGTTGGATGGTCTCTTCTTTTTAACCACTGTAGAGAAATAAAGTATGAATTAGTGTTTTAAATATGCGGCTCTCTAATGATAATGACGGTGCAGACCTTAACAGCCCTTTTCATCTCTCCACTTTGCTACAGCCTTTGATCCTGCTGACCACCATCAGTTTTGAGAAATTCCTTATTCCCTTTACTGCCATTACTTAATAGCTTGTCCATCTGTATTAGCAAGGGATTGCTTCTAGGACCCCTCAAGGAAACCTGAACATGGGTGTTCTAGGCCCTCACGTAGAATAGCATAGAATTTGCCTATAAACTACCCACATTCTCCTGTTTACTTTGGATCGTCTCTGGATTATGGATGATGCCTCATACAGTGTAAATGATATATAAATAGTTGTTACAGTGTGTTGTGTAGGGAATGACAGAAAGTAAGCCAGTGCATGTTCACTACAGCTGCACTTATTTTTATCTGAATATTTTCAGTGCATAGTTGGTGGAATCCTGTGTGAATGCATAGATAAATATGGAGGAGGACCCACTGTATTTGGGGGCTCCTCTGACTACTCCATTTTTTTGCCTCTTTGTTCTTCCATCTTTTCCTAAAAGAACTCCAGAGCTCTGATTGACCCTTTTGTCCTGTCTCTATTTTGCATTACAAAAATTGACCCTGTCCTTGTCTGTGTATATATCTACCTCCAGCACACTCAGCCCCTCTCTGCCTCTCCTGAGTGCTTACTGTGTGTGAGATACTGTGCTGAGCACTATTAGTATTTCATCTCATTTGGTCCTCACATCAGCCCTGTGAGGGAGACATTGTCATTGAGCCTGTTTGACAGGAAGGAAACTGAGACACAGGCGTGAAGGGACCTGCTGAAGACCATGCACCTGGCAGCTGCTGAGCCAGGGCTTAGTGGTCTGGCAGAGCCAGGCCCTTCACCACTGCTCTCTTACCCTTCATAGTGTCCTCTCACCACTGTGCCTTCCAGCATGGCATAGCCACAGGCTCCTTCAGTTCCACTTGCCACTGACTTACCTACAAGCCACGTGGGCAGTCCCACCTCCACGTGTGGCTCTGTCCACTTCCTTCCATTCCCTCTAGGTGCTTTAGTGCAGTCTTGGCTACTGGCCTCATCTGTTTCTTCTGAACCCCTGCTCCTTGTCCCTCCCTCCCTGTTTGTCCTGAAGGCACAGCTACAGTCATCATCACAGATGTGATCATTCAGTTCTCCTTCTTAGATCCCTTCTCTTTGCCTGCAGACATGTCCATACTTCTTCGTGACCTCACCACACCTCACCACACGTCCATCCGCTCCTCCTGTGGCTGCATTCAGAGGCACTTTGGTGCCTCCAGGCCTTCACTCACCCGTTTGTCTGCCTTTTGTTCTTTGATTCATTACGTGCATCTCACGCATCCACCTGTTCCCCTGAAAGCCTCACTTCTAACCACCACCTTCTCCCAGAGCTTTCCGGGCCCGCCCCTCCTATCTGAAAGTCATCTCCCCTGCCTCTGAAGTCTGGTACCTCTTTTTCTGTACTTTTGTTAGGCTGCTTCTCACATGAGCCTGGTAAAAGAGTTATTTCTCCATGTTCTCTTCTACCACACTTCTTGGGTGAGGTACTCTTATACTGTGTGTTTGACAGTGCCAAGGTTTGATTAATTGATTGATTCATTATTTCATTCATTCTACAGATCTTTACTATCTACCCTATGCCTTACACTGTGCCAGGCATGGAATATAAAATAGTGAGCACAGACAAACATGGTGCTCCTTTATCTTCACAGAGCTGTGAAAGGATTCATACATACGGGCAGCATTGCAGATAGGATAGGTACTGCAAAAATAGAGGAGAGGAATGACTTTGAGGAATTCGGCCTTGT